GGGGAGGGATGCGTGACGGGTAAGCGTGGGGCGGCCGCTGCAACGGCAGGGGTTTGGGAGGGCGCGACCGACTGGGGCAGGGGGGGGGTCGTGCAGCGGGCATGGAGGGGCGGCGGGGACGGGGGGGAGACGGAGGAAGCACTTGGGCGGTGCGCCGGGCCACAGGGGCCGTGCGACGTATACTCAACGGGGGCGGCTCGGTGCTGCATCTGATTGGTGTTTGCAGCGCGTTGCGGCACGTGGGGGCGCGGGGCCATGTCTCCAATGAACAGGGGCATCGCAGGGATGTAATCCCACCCCAGAGATGACGCCCCCTTTGGGTGATGCGGTTGATGACTCATGCGACAGGTGAAGGACCTGGTGACGGCGCAGCCGGTGATGACGCCGCTGTGGGCGGCGCCAGAGGTGGTGCGGCACGAGCGCGCCAGCATCAAGGTGCGGGGGCCAACCACGCCTTGAGCGCCGCGCCGGAGCCGCTGCTTTGATCGGCGACCCGTTTTCCCGAGAGCGACGGCAGCGTCTGTCCTGACTAGATAACCACACCGGCAAACGCCGCCATCCCAGGACGCCACCATGACAAAACCCCGACATCACATCACCCCACCCCCACGACCTCCCGCCCCATCTGACCGACACCCGGCCTGTGTCCCGGCGCCCCCCTCGTCCCCTCCGGCCCCCTGATCCCTCTTATGAACCCAAAAAAGGCGGACATCTGGTCATACGGCATCATCCTGTGGGAGCTGGTGTCAGGCGAGGACATCACCAGCTACCAGCCCTTCTCCATCAGCAGGCAGATGGGCGCCGGCGCCAGCGGCCGCGCGCTGTCGCTCCCGGCGCGCTGCCCGGCCATCGCGCGGAGGATCTTCACTGCGTGCACCCAGATGGACCCGGAAAAGCGCCCGACCGCCTTCCAGCTGGTGGAGTGGCTGCGCGCGGACGCGGCCGGCGGCAGCGCGGGCGGCGCGGGCAGCGCGGCGGCGACGGCGGCGCCGGGCGCTGGGGTCGGCGGTGGCGGCGGCGAGGGGAAGCGGTAGGCCGCCTGGTGCGAGGTGGCGGTTGGTGGCGCCGTGCGCGCGCGCGCGCGCTTGGAGCCTTGAGGTGCCAGCCATTGCCCCTGTGCAAGCCCAGCCGCCGGCCGCAGCCCTGTTGCGCGACGGATCGAAGCTGGCGGGCGGGCGCGCAGGCGGGGACCCTTGCTCTTCCTTCTGTCCCAGTGCAGGGGGCGGGGGCCATTCATTGCAGTGTGAACTTGGATGTCATCTTAGATATTTGTGGGTGTCTTGGGTTTTGATTCTCCTTCGAGCCGCCGATCTGCTCCTCCAACCCCCATCCACATCGCGGCACGAAATTGGGCGCCGCATGCCACTGCATGCGTCGCAGCCGGCGTGCGCGACAGCAGCGCGCGCGTGCGCGCGCATGCGCCCAAGGGGCCGCGCATCGCACATGGCTATGCGGGCGCGCGTGGGCCTGGTGGGGCCGCGCCATGTGCGATGCGCGGCCCCACCAGGCCCACGCGCGCCCGCACCGCGACTTGCCCTGGCGTGCCTGTTTCGTCCATATTCACGGGCGTGGCGGCCCGCCGGCGAGCCCGGCCCCCACCCCGCGCCGAGCGGCCCCTGCCGGCCCGCGTCAGCGCCCGGCCCCGCGCTGCGACACGCATTGGCTCCCCACGCAACCTGGGAATGATGCCCCTAGTAGGCGGGAGCGGCGGCCTGGAGCCGCTCGTATCAATGGGCTTTGGGGGCGGCAAGGGCGCAGCCCGGCCCCCGCGTAACTGCAAAACGCTTGACGCACGCGGCCCTCAGGGGCACTCCCCTCTAAACTTCCACTTGCAGCTGGTCGGAATCGTCATGGCCGACAGCTGACTGGGCAAAGCGACAGCCCCGCGGCAGAGGGGATACTGCGGCCTCACTCTGCTGCCAGCGGCGCGGGGCCTGGCGGCGTGCAGCGCAGCTGGCAGGGCGGCGGGCGCGGCAAACTGTGATAGGCGTTCGGGGCAGGCTGAACAGCGCCGTGGCTGCGACACAAAGAAAGCCCTTGCCCAAACATTGCTGGCGGAAGGCCAGCTCCTCAAGCCGCTGATTCTCGTTCAAACAGCGGTTAGATGGGGGGCATGCCATTCGGGGCGGCCGCAGCACTAGGGCCGGCTTGTGTCTCAGGGCTGCACAGACGCTCCTGCAGCCACTAGTTACTGAGGCGCCGGGCGCAGCCGCGCACATGCCAGATGCCAGAATCGCGCGCCAGCTGGCTCTTAGGGGCCCCCGAGCGGGACGGCTGGGCCTGGTCTGTTGGGCGGCAGGGCAGGCTGCACATCTGCAGGGCGCTCCAGGCTTGGAGCTTTGAGTGAGGGTGTGGATCACCTGCTGGCATCTGACGATGGACAGCCCCAGCCCTGCCCTGCCACTGTGCAAGTCACTCGGGATCCGTGGACAACATTACTCTGCTCGACTACTTACCTGCTATCAAGCGAGCAAAGAGAGTGTAAATGGGCCTTCCCTCTGAGACCTCTCTGTGTGCAGGATCCTCTTCTCAGCTGCCAGGGCCCGCTCGCGATGATGCTTGCTGCCTAGCAGCGAGTGTCCGAGGTTAGGACGGTCCACTGTCATGCTTGCACGCCGGGCAGCTGCCGGCGCGAGAGGCAGAAAACAACCAGAGCTGCGGTCAGGCCCACAGGTCGGGGTTGGAATGAGCAAAGTGAGCGGGACCGACCGGAGGCGCCCGCGGTCGCCGAAAAGGGTCCACAAAACTGCGATGAGGCGTTCCGCGCGGCCGACGCGAGCGATGAGACGAGGCGAGGCGGCGGCCCCTGGCGTCTGACGTGCTGAGGGCGGACGCGAGAGTGCTGCCGCGTGCGTGCTGCGAGACGCCCCTCTGAGGGCTGGGTGCCGACGGGCATGGTGTTGTGGGGGGGAGGGATAGCACCCGCGCAACGCGGCGGCCCGGCGGGCCTCCGCAACTGTGCCGCCTGGGTATCAGCACGCCGCGCGGCGCGCCTGCTCGGGCTGGGTGCCGTCCAAAAGGCTAGAGGGAAACAGAGGGGGGGTGCCAAGGGCGCCCATCCGTGGTTGTGCAGCAGCCGCAGTCCGCCAATTATCCCCCCCCCCCACGCACACTTGGCGCTTGTACAGTATATGAACGAGCAAACGTGCATCAAACTGGGTGCGAGACAGAGGCGTAGGGTGGTAGATGTATCTATCAGTGTATATTTGAAACAAACGAAGAAACGTGACCGACACTTCTGGCTGGCTAAGGGCGCGGGCCGCTGCATCATCCAACGGCTGTCGCCACCGCCGCTGGGGGCGAGGCCGGCTTGAAGGGGGGCCGCAGCCCAAGCTCGCAAGGGTGTCGGGAGGGGGGCAGAAGGCGACGAGCCAAACCCGCAGCAACCCGGGGGAGCAGGGGGGGGGGCATCACAGGCACAGCGGTGCGCGTGGCTGGACAAGCTTTTAGGGGCAGCGCGTGGCTGCGCAGATCCCCCCCTCGCGCCCCCGGAGCCTGCGGGGTGAGGCCGCCCAGCAGAGGGCGCCGCGCCAGCCCGCGCGGGCGCAGCGCGCGTGCGCGGCGCGGTCGCCCGCGCAGGCCCTGGGGCGCGGGTCTGGCCGTGGCCCCGCGCACACGCGCGGGGGGCTGCGGCGGGGTTGGTTCGCCCGGCCGTATGTGCAGCGGCAGAAGTGATGATGGAGGAAGGGGGAAAGCCGGGCGTAGGAAGCTTGGGTCTCTCATTTGTACAGGCTGCTGAGATCAAAACAATCCTCGCTTCCTGTCGGGCGCCCCACCCCCCTATCGCCTGGGACCGCGGCCCGGCGGAAGCATAGGCGGCACGCGGCAGAGCGTCCGCTTGGAGGGGGTCTGCCCCCGCCCGCAAACGGCGCCGGCAGGGGCGGCGGGCGGGCGGGCCGGGCGTGCGAGGCGACAGGGCGCGTTGGAAACAAAGCGAGCGCGCATCGATGCGGGGCGCCCGACCGGTCGGCGGCACATGGGCGGGCCAAAGCCGGCACGCGCGCTCAAAGACGGAGCGTGCAGCATGCGTAAAGGGCGGGGAGGGTGGCTCGTTGAGAGGCGGGCTCGTCTAGTGTTGGATGAGGATTGCAAGCGGCGGCGAGCGGGGGGTGGGTGGCGGCAGGGCCTGCGCTGCCTTGCGGTCGGCTACGGCCTACAAAACGGGGCGGGTGGTTCAGGAAACACAGATAGCAGGTTCAGGAGAGAGAGGAAGAGTGCAGCGAGCGCGAGCGCGCGCGAGCGCAACCGCAGGGTGCGCGCAGGCCCACGCGTCCCCGCCCGCGCCAGAGCGTTGGGGCTTGCCAAAGGGCCGGCGCTGGCCGCCGCGCGCACCCAGAGGCGGCGCGGGCGGCCCCAGGGAGCCTTGAAAAATTCAGCGGATGACCCAAAAAGGAATACGAGATTAATCTTCGAGCGTTCATGTCTGAGCGTTGGGGAGGCCAAAAGGCACGCGGCCGGCAAAGCGGGCCGCGAAGCCGCGGGGCGGCGCGGCGGCAGCGTGGCACAGGGCCGCGCGGGCCAATGCGTTTGCCTACGCTTGCGCGGGCGCGGGCGCAGGCCGGACGGCTGAGCGCGTGCGGCGCGGCCGCAAGGCGTGACCGGTGCAGGCAAGCGGAGCATCTGACGCGGCCTCGGCTGACGCAGCCGATGCAACGCGGGAGGGGCAGGGAGGACGAGGGGAGCCGCAACTGAAGGCAGTACAGAAAAGGGCGCCCCTCCCCGTGACAAGGGCCCGCCACTCTCCATGCAAACGGGGCGTCGGGGCCGCGGTCATGCGCCGCCGCCGGCGCCGTCCGAGGTTGCGGCGGCGGCGGCGCGCGCGTCCCTGACGAGGGCGACGACGCACGTGCAGTCGTCCATTTTCCCGCCCTTTGCAAACAGCCGCGCCAGCAGCCCCTGCCGCCCCGCGGCGGCCGCCCAGGGGGACCTAAATGAGTCATCCTGCGCATTCCTAAACGCGGCCGCGGCCAGCGCGTCCGCGGCCGCGCGCGACAGCTCCGCCGGCGGCCGGGGCCGCTGCTGCGGCGGCTGCTGGGCGGGCGGCGCGGC